GTGCCAGCTGTGGGAGATGCAAAGAAAGAAAAGTTATAGCTTCTAGCACGTTCAGCGGGAAGGCCCGTGCCTTGGTCTTGGGGTGGGGGTGGCTTCTCTGAGCAAGTGACATTTAGGCTGAGGCCTGACGGGCAAATGTTATTCAGGGGGGTTGCAATCTGAGGTTGGGACATTCTAGAACATGGACACGGCATAAGCAGAGATCGGGGTCAGGAAGGAGTTTGGAGCTTGAGGACCAAGGGACGGCCAATGTGTCCAGCAGCGTGGTGAGCAGGAAGGACAGGGATACGCCGGCCACTCTTTCAGCTCTGATTTAACTCAAGGACAGGGGAGCCATCTGCCATCTTACGCAGGGGGATGACACTCTCTCATTTACGTTCAGAAGGCTCACTCTAGCTGCTGCGGAGGGGCTGGGAAGAGGCCAGGGTGCGAGTGCGGGCTGTTCCTGCCATGCAGGTGGTGGCAGCGGGGCTGCAAGGTGGGGGCCCGCGGACACCCAGCACCCTCCCTGGGCGCCCTGGACAGGGGTTTGCCGCCGAGGCCGGGGCCTCTGAGCGCAACGTGAAACTGAGTTCTGCAGACCCCGCTGCACTTTGCCCAGGCGTGAGAGAACCGCTTACGAGTGTCACCGTTTTCATCACTGAGTCCAGGGCTGACTTTTTAGCAGTGATCATTAAAATGCCAGGTGAGAACGAGACACAGAAACACATTTTATGCAAATGAGCCCCATGTAAAGCGTGACTAGGGAGGAGTGTCAGACGTCGCTGACCTGTCTAAGGTCTGGTCCAGTCCTTGAGCATTCAGCTGTCAGAGCTGACGTCGGGCTCAGGTCTGAGCTGCCGCGTGTCGCTTTCTCACGCCCAGCGAGTGCCCTGGGGGATGTGGCGGCCGGCAGCGCCTCCAGCGAGCACGGCCCGCGAGGGTTCCAGCAGTGGTGCGTCTGTCTAGCTTAAATACGTGGGTAACGGCGTATTGATTTTGATATGTGATTAGAACTTTTTTTTTGTAGGCTTTACCGCCAGCACCTGTTCAGAATCACACAAATAAGCATCAGGTATTCAATGCATCTCTTCAAGACCATATATATCCAAGCTGTTTTGGGACCACTCCAGAGTGGAATAGTTCTAAATTTATAAGTCTTTGGGGATCAGAAGTGATGAATGATAAGAACTGGAGTCCTGGCACTTTCTTGCCAGATACAATTTCTGGTAAGGAACTTGTTACAATTTTCTTCAAGTGTTAAAATGACCCGAGCTGCGTGGATTTCCGTCTCTGTCACTGTGGCCTCCGGCGGCGGCCTGGGACCCACGGGCCTGGCGCGGCTGTGCCCCGGGTGCTGCTCCCTGCGGTCGGCAGACCACGCCGCCGTCGCACGCCCTGCAGGCTCCAGGGGGCTCCCGGGGGCTCCGGGGCCGCCACCAGCACAGCCAGCCGTACTGGGCCTCGCGAGCACTGGCGGCGCTGCTGAGCATCCCGCCTCCAGGGTGCAGTGAGCAGCGGTGGCGGCCAGACCCCAGCCCAGCACACGGGGTGGTGCGACGGTGCCACGGTCGACTTGGGTGTTGAGGCTTGCCTTCCTTTCCTGTTTCTGCATCGACCCTACATGGGACCTGTCCCCTGTTACATGCTCCTTCCTCCTTGCTGCCTCAGCTGTTTCCGCGGGAGCAAGGCACCCGAGGAGGGGCTGGTACCTCCGCCTCGTCTCCATCTCTCGGTCAGAGCCCTGGTGGCCCCGCACCCAGCCCCTGCATGTGCTCAGAAAGCAAGCTAGACTCGACATCCGGTCTGTGCTGGGAAGGGTTTCTAGCTGTGTGACCTTGGGCAAGTTACTGAGCCTCTCTGAGCCTCAGTTTCTTCATCTTTAGGATGAGACTAATAGTGCCAAGCTTAGAAAGTAGTTTTAAGACTAAAAAGAACTGTCGGAAAGCACCTGGCACAGGAGTTGGCACATAGTAGGTGCTCAGTAAATTTTTTTCTTGGATTAAAAACCAGTTAACTAGTGGCAGCCCCAGTGTCAAGCGTTCGACCTGCAGACTTCTTTTAGGGTTTAGCTAACCACGGTTCCTTGAAGAAGCCGTAACATTCCCGTTCTCCTCTGAAGGGGCCGACGTCTCAGGGCCCACGCTCTCGGAAACAAGGCCCGAAGCCCTTCCGCCGCCATCTGGCAGTGACGCCCCTGCAGCTTTGGATTGTAAAGAGAAAAAAAATGCTGCGAAGAAGAAATGTTTGTACAACTTCCAAGACGCTTTTATGGAAGCAAACAAAGTCGTGATGGCCACCTCGTCGGCCACCTCCTCCGTGTCCTGCACGGCCACCACGGTGCAGTCGAGCAACAGCCAGTTCAAAGTGTCGTCCAAGAGGCCTCCTTCCTTAGGTAAGGCCCGCCAGCTGCCGGGGCGCCTGGGGCGGCCTCACGGCACTCGCCCCTCGCAGGGCCTGCCCGGGGTGAGTGTGGTGAGCAGTGCCCGCACCCACGGGAATTCCACCGTCACACCGGCTCCCTCGGGGGCTCCCTTGCTGTTCCTGGCACCAAGAGGACTCGTTAGTCATCTCGAAGCAGAAGCCTCGCGGACAGCGAGCTTGTGGGGCCACCGCCTAGCCCGGGGTGCAGTCTCTGCTGCCACCCAGATACTGGTGTGCAGGTGGTGTTGCTGTCACACTCTGATCTGACTACAGTGAGAAGGGGGCCTAAAAGCAAGAAAGCTGGCAGAGACGGTGGCAGGTGTCAGAGGGACACAGGGGCTGGCTCAGAGTCAGGGCAGTGTGAGCACCGTGGGCATGATGGGATGGTCACCGCACAGGCTGCAGCCAGGCGTCCTAGGCGCACGCGGGGGCGGAGCAGAGCAGGGAAGCTCTTTGACAGAAGGTCGCGGCCACTACGCGTCCAGGGACGATAGAATTAGGAAGCAGCCGTCAGGGTGACGGTCCACACAGGTAAGTGCTGTTGGCGGGTGCTGAGGACATGGGACGTCGGCTTGGGAGTGTGGTGCTCTCACTGCCGGAGCCGCTCCCACAGGTGACCGGCAGATCACAAAGGGAAGGTAGAGTGCCTGTCGCTGGAAGGACCTGGCAGACCGCCCCTGCCCACCGGCCATCACGGAGCAAACTGACGTTAGGTGCTTCCTAGGCCATCAGTGCAGAGGGTCCAGCGTGACACTGGCAGAGCCTGTGCCCAGAGCACTTCGGCCAAACCTACCGCAAGCCTGTAAGCCAGACTGGCAGACGGCTGGCTTTGACTCACGATGTCAGCGTCGTAAAAGGGGGAAAAGTGAAAAAGAGGCTGAGCTGGGAAAAAGCTGCACAGGCCCCATGGAGAAACGGGGACACTGAGCGCGTCACGTCGCCGTTGAACGTCTGGTGTCGTCGCGGTGCTGTGACCACACGCAGCGCGTATCCAGGAGTTCACGCCGAGGCAGTTAGGGGCGCGTGCAGCCTGCTCCAGATGGTAGGCCACCGTGTGTGTGTGCGTGTGTGTGTGTGAGAGAGACAGAGAGAGAGAGAGGACATGCGACAAAATGTTAAGTAGCGATGGATCCAGGTCAAGGAGGTCAGGCACTCTTTGTACTATTCCTTCCACTTTTTTATAGATTTGACCATTTTTATACAAAAACGTTGGTAAAAGGTCTTAAGAGAACCAGGAACGCCCGCGGGGCGGGGGCGTGACTCTCGCGTCTCTGAACGCAGGCGAGGTCTTCCACGGCATGAGCACGGAGGAGCATAGGCGCGCGGTGCCCGCCACCCCGAGGAGCAGCCCCACGGGCCTGGCGCCGCTTCCCGCCCTCGCCCCTGCCGCCCTCCCACCAGGCCCCGCACCTCACCTCAGCAGCCTGGCGGCCCCAGCCTTCCCCAAAACTGCGGCCGCGTCTCCCAGCTTCGTGGATGCACGCAAGAGCTTCTGCCCTGCTTCTGTGGCCCCCCCGCCCCCCACCACCGACGGCTCCATGAGCGCGCCTCCCAGCGTCTGCAGGTAAGCCCGGGGCTGAGGGCTGGGGCACTGGGAAATGGGGTGCCGCGCACCCCGACATAGAGCGGCTGCAGGGGCTCAGCCCCCTGGTGTCCTGCGCCCAGTGTCCCAGTGAGTGCGGCAGGAAGGGCGGTGCCCCTGGGGGTGGGGGTGCTCTGGGCCGGCCTCGTTCTGCAGGGCTGGGGCACGTGGACTTCTGTGCCGACCCCACCCCACCGCTGGCCGCGTCAGGACTGGGCCTTGGATGCGTCCTGGTTGTGTGTGTTATACATTGAGCGAAGACCACAAACACTGGACAGTTGTTTTGTTTTTTAAAGACAAGTTTCTGTTACCTTCGAATTTGCCTGTTCGAAGCCACCCCAGCCACATGCTCTCAGGATGAAGTGGTGGGAGGGACAGTGGCGACACTGTGTGTGCCCGAGGAGCCCCTCAGGGTGTGACCCCCTGCCCACGTGCCTGCTCATGCCACCTCGCCCCATCACCACCCTGCCCTTCCTGTGTCCCCCAGTGTCCATGCGGGCCACGCGGCCCCTGCACCTCGCTCCCGCCTGGGACAGGGCAGGGCGGCCACTGGTCGTGAGGAGCAGAGCGTCATCGGCCACGTGCCGTGCCTGTGCCCCTCATGGGGGGGCCGCTCGTTAACAGGCCTGCGTGCTGTTTCGCAGTGACCCCGACTGCGAAGGGCACCGCTGTGAGAACGGCGTGTACGACCCGCAGCAGGACGGCGGGGACGAGAGCGCGGACGAGGACAGCTGCTCCGAGCACAGCTCCAGCACCTCCACCTCCACCAACCAGAAGGAGGGCAAGTACTGTGACTGCTGCTACTGTGAATTCTTCGGCCACGGCGGGGTAAGTGCCGGCAGCCCCGCCTGCCTCTGGGGCACAGGCGGGGCGCGGGGGTCAGGGAGTGAGAGTCACCTTGGTGTCGTGTGCGTCAGGTGCGTGTTTAAAGGAGAAATCGTAGAGTGTGCAAGACCGACATGCCAGGCCGACGTCGGGCCGTGGTTGTGTTGTGTGTGAAAGTGTTTGCAGCACAGTCAGAATCCAGGTGCAGTCTGAAACTGAGCCCACATCTGGGTTGGACTCGCCCTAAAGACAGAGTGATAAATATTTGCCCAGAGACATGGCTACGAGGATTCCGTCACGGCGTTTTTGCACGTGTTTGTGATTTTTTATTATTTTAGTGTTATTTTTCTTGCATTTGTGATTTTTTAAATAGGGGGTGGGGTCCTACTGAACACCCAGCCGGGCATTTATGGCGTCCAGACAGTTGGCAGCACACAGTGGGACGCGGGGGGCTCGTGTGGCAGGCTCCTCACGGGGGTGCGCGGATCTGAGGCTCACACACACTCGCACGCCTCTCCAGGACGGTCTTGTCTGCGCCAGCGCCAGCACCAGCTCCGCCGCCTGGGCCGGCCGGCAGAGCAGACACGCGAGCTGCTCACTCTCTGCTTCGGTTCCGTGTGCATTGGTAGTGCAGAACCAAGCTCAGCAGTGGGGTCGGCGGCGATTTCTTTTTCTCGTTGGCGCCGTAAGGGAGACGTACAGATAGAAGAATTCTGCAGACACATTCACGGGCTTGCAAAGACAGTCACACTGTGTTCCGCACGGAGTAGCTCCATCAGCGCGTGTACTTCTTTTTATTTAAAGATAGGCGTTTTTGTACATAATTGTACGTACTTTACCAGAATTTTCACGGAAGTATAAGGTTTTTTTTTCTGTCCTTTGTTTCCCTTATTTCCTTGTTTTTCGTGGTAAGCGTGTATGACTTGAGTAACAAGTAAGAAATCATTTCCAGAGGTGTCATCTGAAGTTTGTTGTATTCAAAACTGTTAAAAATGGAAGCTTAACGTGGCTGTGTGTTCCTATGATCGTCTTAGCCTC